ATTTAAAAATGAAAGCCTATGAAGAAAATGGCAGAATGAACTATCACTACCTAATAAATCTAAAATTTCCAAAGATGCATCTAAATCTCCTTTTTAAGAAGTCATAAATTCAAAGTCTCCTAGCAGTTATACTTATAGATAAATAATGCTGTGCAATGAACCATGACCTCAGGAAAATTATTTAACCTCCATAGGTCTCAGTTTTCCCATCTGTAAAATAAGGAGGGGTTGAGCTAAATAATTCTTGAGGGCTCTCTCAACAGCAAAATTCTATAACATACCAGGCCTTAAAATCCTTAATATTAACATAAAAAAATATTTAAAGCACCTAAAATGATTATTCATTTGATTATCTAAAATGATTATTCATTACTTGTAGGAATGTGATTTCTATCTTAAGTTTAAAGAAAACTGGGTTCCTTATTACCATGGGATAGTATACTTGTGATTAAAATCAGGTAAATCACACAAGCACTTGGAAAATATTAATGATCAGGGACCATTCATTTAATACTAGGTACAGTAGTAGCACTAATGTCCTTAAGTGCTTCATTACTCAGACCTTGCTTTTACTTTTCTGAATGGATTTTACCTAAATAGGCTTTAGACATTTGGATATAAATGCCTAATTCAGTAATTACTATTTTAAAACTGTGAAACCTTTTAAGTTAAGTGGACTATTAATTAACTACCAATTATCTTGTCTGCCTACCATGTCAATAGAAGTAAATTACTGACTAGCTTTTTGACAGATTTAGTCTTTTACCATGCAAAATTCCTACAGAACATAAAAGGACTAGAGTTAAATGCTTTTGCTTCCCCCTTTTGGTTATTCAAGGATCAATTTGCTCTTGTATAAAGGCCAGATGTTGTCTTTTGGTCAAAAAGAATCTTCAGATAAACACTGGCTAGCTTGCTCCTAGGAACAGCAGATTTTCCCACCTCTTACAAAGATATTAATAATAATTTGGAGAATAAGAAAACAGATTTGCAGATCCCATACTCAGAAACCTTTCCATATTCAAAACAGTGAAAGTTTATTTCAAGCATTTGTGTCCCAATGAAGCAAAGAAAAACCCAAAGTGATACATTCCAGTAATACTTGTACCAAAGTTAAAGAATATTAGCTAATGTACAATGTCCAGGGTCTCATGATAACCTTAAATTGTTTCCCAACAGATTATGCTGGCTAGAATCTACCCAAAATCCATCACTTTTTGAATGCTGACCAAAAGAAGGTTACTGGGAAAGCTGCCAATGGTAATATAACACTGGCAGATGTAAAGTCATATAACAGACTTGTAAGAATCCCAAAGACTAGTACCATCAATCTTTAAAATGTCCAACATCAGATAAATTGCAAATGACCCAGTAAGGGACAAACTACAGTACAGACTCCTCTATTTGATATTAGGCAGTTGAGTCAAGTCAGACAATTTGGTAGTATCACTTGGGCTACTTAAACTGCTAAATTAAATACCAATTGCTGCAGTAACCACAGCATATTTATAACAACAATATACTATTATTATTGGTGGCAGCAGTAAGGCAAGAAAATGGCAAAAGGATATAATAACAAAAAGGAAACAAAGCCAAGATTTCTATTTTTTTGAATTGGCTCCATACTCTATAACAATTAATGGTAGACCTTCATTGAACCCTAGTTTTGAAACACTATAAAATTTATATAACTGTTAGTGCCCAGAATACAGTAGGAACTTAATAAATGCTTGTTGACTATTGGTCTAAAGAAATGCTTACCTTTTCAGATTTACGAATATGGGAGTATGTAAGATTTTCTCCTAATAGAAAATTATTTTCCTTTAAATATTTGAACAATGGTCTAGAGTTAAGTTATTGAGAATCTACTCGGTGGCAAGGAAATGAGGATACAAAGATGCACAGCACCCAGTTTCTGTCTCAAAGTAGTTTGCAATCTAATTGGGAAAGCAGGAAAGATACAGAAAAAGATAAACAGAAATGCTAGCTAGAAGCATTTCTATAGATGCTAGATGGAAGACACCCAACCCTTCCCTTTTCCTTTCTTTTTTAATCCAGGTCATATAACTCCTTTAAAGAACCAACTCAGGGTATTTCAGCTAGGAGGAACGGTGTGAGCCATGGTGTAGAGGGCAGGAAGTCATGGCTATTTTCTGTGGACTGAATAGACAGGTCTCCATAATGATTTTGTTTTACTGTGTATGATTATATATGTATGTGATCTCTGAGTCAGGATCCAGACTATGAGTTATCCCTGTAAAGGCAGACACTTGCACTCAGAAGTAGGGTTCAAGATCACCTGGTCAAATGGCATATGCAGCGTTTGTCTACTGGTTCACTTTTTGAAACAAACTTACTCTTACAATTCTACCCCTTTCCCCATTTCAATTGTATCTACTCCCTTCCCATGCCCAAATATAGTAGAAAGAAGAGACACACTGATCATTCTGGATTGAAACCAGCACCTTTGAACATACCTTTGTTCAGAAGCTACCTACATCTTGGTACTATAAGAGGAATCATAACTTGTATTAAGTCAAATTCTAGTGGTACTGAGGTTGATAACATTCAAAACTAAATACACTGCAAAGTTTTGTTTCAGAATTTTAAATTGATAGAGCTCAGCTTTCACTTGAAAGATTAAAAGACTACAAGAATTTGGAAAGGGCATCTTTATAATGAGCTGACTCAATATTGAAAAGAATTTATTTAGCTTAGATGCCTAAGGCAAAAACAGCTGGAGAATTCAGGAGCCTCCCATATTTTAATATGAAGTGATGTCATAATTGACAAAGCTTCCAAGAACTCCCTAAATTCTGTAGTTAAGCAACATTCAGAACATCCAGAACTCTAGAAAGCCAATATTCTCCTGCTTAATGCACAAATTCAGTCTAAGTGTAGTTTTTACAATTAAATATTTGATTCAATTTTTCCACATTGCAGAGAGAAAGATCGAATTACAAGTGCTTCAATTTAGGTGCATTTTCATAGCCAAGGCTATGAAAGTCCCTAAAATGGGATGAGCTTTATAGTCTAGGGGATATTGACTACTGTTAAGCAGGTTTTATGGGGTTCCTTTAGGGTATATATTTTAACAATGTATTTGAAAATTTTAAAGCTTTACAATATGACACACTAAAACAGCAGAAAGATAGATTGAATTTCAGTCTTTAGTGATCATTCAAGTTAATGGTTATGAAACATTCTTGCATCATCTCAAAGGTTAAAGAACAATTCTAATCTTAACTATGGCTTGTTACTAACCCATCGAGTATCCTGTCCTATTCGAATTTATTTATTCATTGTATCTTTTTCTGTGGCATAAAAGCACATCTAACTCAATTCAAGTGGAGACCATAGCAGCTTCATGTGTTATTCTTTAAAAGTTTGTGTCTTTTTTGCACAGTGCGTGAAGTCCTCATCCCACATGAAAGTACTTTGGTTTACTTCAAAGTAGATTACAAAACACATTGTTGGAAATCCTGTGTAAATACTGTTAATAAAGCTTTTGGTTAGGTGTGTACCACCTCTTCAAGTATTCTTTTGCCTCTCTGTATTCCCTCCCCTGCGCTACTTTCCTTCAAAGTCTACAGCTTGGCCTAGGATCATTTTTCTTTTACCAGCTATGCTATAGACTAGAGCTATGGTTTAACTGGGAATTATTTTGCCTTGCCCCATTTAAGAAATGTACAGAAAAAGGAATCTCATTAATTTTTTTTGCAACATTAATATTAAAGTCACCTAAATGTTCATCTCTATAAAACAAACAGAAATTGTATATCTAAAAGTATGTGTCTATATGTGTATGTATGTGTATATGTCTTTCCACAGACACAAACACATATCCCTTAACTGACGAATGAATCCAGGATAGTCCACTGTGTGAAATGGAACTTGGGCAGGCATTTCCAAAGACATAATTTTTCAAGTAGTTATTTTAAGAAATTAATGATTTTAATGTGCCCTCTTAGGAAAGAAAATTCTTTGTCAAATTTTATTATAAGCCTTATCCACCTAGAAAAGAGGTAGGAAGTCCAACATCCCCTCACCTTTCTTCCCTAAATTATAGCTGTCAGAAAAGGATGGAAAGAAAAGCAGCAGTCAGAAAGAAAGCAGAAATAAAGTCTTTTAGTACCCTGAACTATGCTGCTCCAAGTTAATCTTCCACCTTGGGTGCTTATGGAAAATAAGGACCACTAAGATATTTCAGGGTTAGCCTAATGGAAGTTGAGGAAGTAGAACTCCTTCTATTACTTCCTCAAATGCTGCAGCAGCCCCCTGTTGGTTAGGAGCTATGACTGCTTTGAAAATCCTTGGCTTGTCCTGTCCCCTACCTTGCAATAGTGACTAACTGCCAGAATAGAGATGACCTCTCTGCTTACACATGGAGCATTTTCAAAGTTGCTGTGACCTCAGATCATCAGGGGTAGGAGAAGAAGTCAATAGGCTACCCCTGATGCTGTACAGTGCCATGTACCCTGTAGATGCTCCATCAGTGTTAACTGACTGACAGGATGGCTCTGACAGACAGGATGGTTCCCCACTGAGTCACAAATACTGATCTCAGAATCTCAGGCAAATTGTAGATATATACATGACCAATCAGTAGATGTGCATGGCTGAAACAAACTTTAGAAGTGTATAAGAACAAAAATATTATTCTTACACAAATTTAGCATGAAGAAAAAATATAGTACCAACATTTCATTTATACCTGCTTGCTTTTATGGCAACCTTGCAAAAATGTACAATGGTAATGAAGCCCTCCTTCTTCTCATGAGGCAATCAGTTTGTAAAACAAACTAAGTCAACATTCTTGTATAAATATCAACTGTTGACACCAATGCAGAAGTATTACAAGCAAGTAATTATTTGTAAGGCTGTTTTACAGTGACAAAGTGGTATATAGTTGCTAGCTATGTACCAAGATCTTCCCTCCCTCCCAATCATCCCACAAAAGAAAAAAAAAAAAGACATAAATCAAGAATGTTCATATTTACCCAGAAATGCGCATGGCAATTGACCATCATGGTTCTCTCAATAAGCTCATCAGGGCACTCCAAGAGATGATGCCCAGACACCACACCAGCATTATTAACCAGGACTGACACCTCTCCAACTTCCTTCCGGACTCTTTCAGCTGTCAGGTAGACATTCTCTCTTTTTCCCACATCACAGGTGTAGGTAAAAACCTGTAAGTTGCAGGGAGGTAGAATTTCCTCCTCACCATTTCCAGCTGTTTTCAGGAATATAGATGAGGGAAAAGAATAGAACAAGGAGGGGGAAAAAGTGACTGGAGTGGTAATCCGACAAAAGATCACACAAAGCAAAAATACTACAGCAAGCTACAATTTCTATAAACAAAAAGTTTGCCAATTATTAAAGTTACAGCTGCTTTTCTCCCCCTCCCCCCCCAGTTTTGAAGAATTACAGCAATTTACTGGATACTCTTACTTAAGAAAAAGCAACATAATTGTGACAAGTACAGTACAAGCCAGAATAAACCCCACACCATCTGCAATAAGGTTCAGTACCGTGAACTATATGAAAACAGCTTACTGGGATCTAAAAACACCTGGAAACAACTGACTTCATCCCAGAAAGTTTCTCCCCCTCCCCTTTTCTGGGAACTAGTGGTGGTGAGGAACAAAATCTCTTTGCATTCTCCTCTTCTTCTCTCTCACAACCAATACAAAGTTCTTCAAAATAGAAACTCACCTCAAGCTCAAGAAGAAAAAAAGTTTGTAATCTAAATGTCTCACATGGGCCAAAAAAATTGATTATTATAAGGGGAATTTATTAGTCTTAACTAGAGAAACCAACCTGTCAAAAAGATGCCCCTGCACATGCCAACCTCTCAAGTGAATATGAAGCTTCCATATGCTAATTTCTGGATAAATGACATTTAAACTACATAGCTCTCATTTTTTAAAGAAATTCTTATTTATTCATTAGGCTTTCTCCACAAACAAGGATATGACCTAGATTTTATGCCCTCAAATATTAACAATTTAATGTTTAAAGTTACATTTTGTACTTTATTTTTCCTGGCATAAAAAGCAGCTCAATTCACATTTTTGAAAAATGCAGTATCTAATTTTGATGGCTAAATGTTGTACGTTTTCTTGAAGGGGAGGGGGAGTATCTGATCATGCCTTCCTTTGAAATGAACTATCTCATTAAAAAAAATTCAATACGAAGTTTTCTAGACCAAGAAATGAGTTTAAGGTGGGCTTTGATTCTTTTAAAAAATAGCCAAATTTAGGAACAACTATTGTATATAATACTGCGGTCTCCCTGGGGTTACCAAAAATAGAAGAAATTCCAAAAATGAGGCTCAATCTAAAGTGATTTTCAATCATTTGGTAATATATATTGTGCGTGTATATACACACATGTGTGTTATGTTTAGTGAAATAATTTGAACATTTTTCTGTGCAGTTACAACGCAATTAATCCTGTCCCTAGATGAAGCTTCTAGGATTACAATATAATAACGCATGATGCTACACTGTAGCAGACTAGATACCTGCAATCAGAACAACTTCTCAACAATAAGTACTCTTCCCATGGCATATGGGTGTGAGAAATTCTCCTTAGACCCTAAGCACTTTGTAATAAGTCTCTCTTAGTAATGTGTGTTTAAGTCTACAGAGAGCTCTGCTAACCCTATTTTTTCCTTAGGAACTAAATGAGATCCAATTAACACACTAGTTTTGTTCTCAGATTGCAGCACATTTTCTCCTCCTTAATATTGTGAGATGACCAAATACGTAGTTGCTTTATCCTCTAAGCAAATTATATTCACTTTTCTGCACGGGGCAATTGGGAAGGACTCTAGTTCAGATTCATTTTCTCTCCCTAGAGGGAGGCATGGACCATACAGGGCTGTCACAGCCTTCTGCGGGGGGTGATGGGGAGGACGGGGTGCGGGTTCGGGTTACCTTGCAGGGCAGCGGCATCAGCTGCCTCCAGGTCCTGGTAGATGTGGCGCACCATGCCCGCCGTCTCTTCGTTGCTCTGGGTGTTAATGTCCCACAGAACCAGCAGAGCCCGGCGCCGGGCGAACTCGAGGGCAAAGAGGCGGCCCAGGCCGCTGCCGGCCCCGGTGATCAGGCACACCTGTCCCGCCACGCTCTTCTCTTTGGGCCGTACCAGCCACTTGGCCGCGGCCAGCACGAAAGCCCACAGCACTTTGAAAGTGACCACGAAGAACTCCACTAGGATATTCATCGCGACGCCCAGCCCAGCTCTGCACCCGCCGCGGCGGCGGCAGCAGCAGCAGCAGCAGCGCCCGCGCCCGCAGCACCCGCACGGACCGACCCTGGCCTTTTGGCTTTCCAGCAGCTGAGCGGCTGCGGGACCCTCTGGCTCCTTGCCCCGGGAGGTGGCCAAGTGCCGACCTCCTTTGAGCCCGAGGAGCTCCCGGGGGAGGGAAGGAAGGACCCGAGGAAAGACCCCACACCTAACTCCTCCCTCCCCCAACTTGCCTCCCTGACTTTCGGGGGGCCCGGAGCGCGGCTGCTGCTCCAGAGGCTGCCGCACGCCCTCGGCCGTGCCACCCCCTTGCCCAGTTAGGCGCTACTGCCCCCCCAGTGCGGTGCAGTCGCCCCTGGGCCGCCTCCTGCTGGCTAGCCGCCCGCCTGGGAGCGCTCGGCCAGGCTCCGGTCGCTGCCTGGGCGCCGGGTCCAGCTGCGGTGACAGCCACACGTTAAGCTGCCTTCATGCTTCCAGCTGCTGCTGTGGCTGCTGCTGCTGCTGCGACGGCGGCCGCACAGCCCTGGCCTCGCAAGAGCCGTGCAGAGCCCGGACCCGCAGGCCGGCCGGAGGAGTTGTCAACTTAACCCAAGTTTAAAGAGCGGGGTACGGAAGAGGGACCAGAGAAAGTGACCAGTCCTTCCCGGAGGCAGGAGCAGCCCAACGGCTTGAAGCACCCCTAGTACCTGCCAGGCCCCCCAGAGGTCTCGTGTCGCCCACCCCCTCGCTCCCCTCTCAGCTCCGCGGCTGTCACTCGGGCACCGGGAGTCCGGAGCAAAGTGCAGCTTGCAACTCGCAGGCTTGCCCGCGCGCACTGAGCGGGCTCCACGCTCTGCGCTATATAAACCGGGACGGGGAAAAGCCGGCGGCGGCGGCGGCAGCGGCAGCGGCGGCGGCGGCGGCGGCGGCGGCAGCAGCAGCAGCAGCCCTCCTTCCCTCCCCCCGCCCCCCTCGCTCCCTCCCCTCTCCCCTCCCCCCCACGGCGCACCCCGCCCCCCACCCTGGCCCAGCCCCCAGTCCGCCCGCCCGCCCCGCTGCAGCGGCCACCGCGCCGGGGCAGCCCCTCTTCTGGCCCGGGCCGCAGCCGCTCAGCCGGCTCGCACCTCCCTTCCCTGCTCACGCCCCGCGCAAGGGGGTGCCCCGGCCTTCGCCTGTCCAGCCCGGTAGCCCCCGACATGGAAGTCACCACCGCCATCCCCCTCTGTGGCCCCCCGGCCCTGACCCTTTCCAGCCACACCGACTTCTAGAGCAGGCCTGGCCCAGGCTCGCTCCTGCCCCCGCCCCGGGTCAGGCTTTTAAGGGGGACACCCCAGGCAGCCGGGGAGGAGGGAAGGAAGGGCCTCGGCAGAGCTCCACCGGAGCCTTCCGAGCCTATAACTAGTATTGGCAGAGCCGGGGAGGCGGTAACAGGCACATCCGCTGCAGCAATGCCTAATCGCCGCCATCCCTAAAACGGAACCTGGGTAGCCTTAATCATCCCAATCCCGGATCTGCCTACAGTCCCCAGCATGCCGTGCTTCCTGTCCGGCGGGCAGGAACGCGAGAAAGGCATACTGGGACGTGTAGTTTCCGAGAAACTAGGTAGCTCAAAGGAAGGGAGTGTTTTTTTTTTTCTCCCAAGTCGTAAGTAGGTAGAAAACTCCCTACCCAAACACGGTTAATGAATGCTATACGTAGATTTAGGACCTCATGTTGTCAAGTAGGATAACACAAAAATGTTAGCATTGTGATGGAAAAGTTTAGTTGCATTCTTTTCCCCAGTACCTATTTCCTTCCGTAATTTGGTCAGAAGAGCCTCCAACCAGACATTACTTGAAATTTCGATTTCCGCGTTCAAAAGCAATCTAATCTGTCTCTCCTATACCCAGGCACTACCTCAGGCACCTATACATTTTAGGACCCCAACTCTTGCCAAGTCTTTAAGTGTTCAGTACGCATGCGCATACTTCCTCTTTTTCCAGCAGGAATCATGGCGGGCGTAGAGTAAGTAAACGCTGCTCCTCTTGAGAATCCTCCTCCATCCTCCAGAATGGAGGCTTACCTGCCCTCATTCCCTCGATCTGGCAGTAGCTTGGACCTTATGTTTCTTATTCATGTAGTTTGAATTTCATTTGGACGCGGGATTCCTCGAAACCGGGCCGGGATGCGGGCCGCCTTGGGGTGAATGGGAGGGAAGGTGTCGGGAGGAATTGGAGTAAGCCGGGGAGGGGGCCCGGCCTGCGGAGGCAGAGGCCGGAGCTTCGGGGGCTCTCGGGGCGCCACGTCCCTCCGCTCTGCTGCCGCCCCGCTGCCCGGGGTCGCCGGCGTCTTCCCCTTGCTCTTGCCTTGTGGCCAGGAGCCGTGCCGTGGCCCATGTTTGGAAGCCCCCGGTCTCTTTCCTAAAGTTCAGAGCGTTCGTTCCTCGGAGCCACAATGCTTTTAAGTTCCTGCAAATATTCCCATGAAAGAGTGGCGTTTAATGCGTGCACATAGTAGGCACTTAAACTTGGCATCCAACCTCAGTATGTTCCCTGCTTAGATAAGGTCTGTGAGAGATAAAAATTACAAGCCAAGTTCTTTTTTGTTTTTGTTTGGAAGGAATCCAGGTAGAAATCAGTTCTGGGTTTTTCGTTTGCTCCTGTTATGAATTTAAGTTTTTTGGGACTTCAGTTTATAGTAATTTCCAAGCATTCCCTCTTATCTCCTTGCTGTATTCTTGTATGTCCTAAGTCTTGATGCTTATATGTTTATATTCCCTCGATGAAATGAGTAGCTAATTGAAGGCAGTGCTTAAACTTTTTATGCTTGGCACATGAGTAATATAGTGCTTATGGGATACTAGGAATTTGAAGAAGTAACGTGTCTTTGGTTTGGGATTCCATATCAATGGTAAAACATACCTGTTATAGGAACTGGACTGGTAATTTAAGTATGTTGTCTAGAGTAGTGAGAGGTGACTTGCCCAGGGTGGCATAGCCAGTAGATGTTGGAGGGAAGGTTGTGATCTCAGGTCTTCCTGGCTCCAAGGTCTGCCACTTTAGCATTTCAGAAAAAATGCTGCACTGATATTTAAGGAAGAGCTGGTTCAAATAGCTCAGGTGTTGACCAACTGTTCTACCCTAGGCACGCCATTTAACCTCTCAACCTTAGTTTCCTCAACTATAAAATGGGGATAATAATAACACCTACCTTACAGCATTTTGTGAAGATAAGATGAGATACCTGTAAAGTGGTTTGCAAACCTTAAAGGCACAAGGAAAGTTAGTTATTGTCATGGGGTTTCCTTTTCATTTTCAAGTGAGGGTTCAACTGGAGGACTTCTGACCTCAATTCTAAAAATTCTGTGATATTAAAGTAGACATAAGAATATTGTAGAAATAATAGTAATAATAGCTAATGTTTTTATAGTGCTTGCCATATGCCAAGTTCTTCTCAAATATTATTTGATACTACTGCCTTGGGAGGTGGGTGCTACTATTGATTTGTCCAGGATCACATAGCTAGTTTAAGTGTCTTGAGTTTGGTTTTGAGTTCAGGTCTTCCAGACTTCAGACTCTTGTACTTCTTGTGTGCCTTAGTATATAATTGTATTTAGTGTTAGAATTATTAGATTCTGTTTGTTTGAAAGAGAAATACTAGTCAGGATTGTTGTTATTTTTTTATATAGAGAAAAGAAGAAGCTACCATCTGTTCCAGAATCCCTTCTGAAAAAGCGAAAGGCTTTTGCAATACTGAAGGCCAAACGCCTAAAGAAGAAGATGGCTGTAAAAAAGGTAATAGTATAGCACTTGATTTTAAGGAAGGCATTTCATTACTTCACCACCTAGAAGACAGAACTAATATTCACCTTTTTGGATTGAGACAAAGTTCTTGAGCAACAGTTTGGGATTGGACTGATAGACAATCTCCTTGAGATTTACTTAAGCAACATGATCTAAAGTGATTTTTTTTTTTTAGCACCTGGATACTGGGATGATATAGATAGTATTATCAATCAATATTTTGAAATAGTATTTGAATTAAAATTTTATTCAGTGACATGTGGATATTTCTTTTTCAGCTTCGTAAAATACGGAGGAAAGTTATCTATGAAAAAGCTAAAGCCTACCATAAGGAGTACAGACAGATGTACAGAAGTGAAATCCGGCTGGCTCGAATGGCACGCAAAGCTGGCAACTACTATGTACCTGCTGAACCGAAGTTAGCTTTTGTGATAAGAATCAGAGGGTAAGTTGAGTTCTGACTTGGGTTAAAGTTTTTTCATGAAATCCATAGCTTTCAATCCCAGGTGACTTGATTACCTGGCTCAGTAAACATTCAGATAAAAACCTTTATAGGACTGAAGCATGTATTCTTGCCTCTCAGAGTCTTTAAGACTATGACTGTTTTACTCTTACTATGGGGCACTAAAGGAAGTGAAAGCCTGATCAATTTTTTAATCCTTTTTTTCCCCCTCCAGTATCAATGGTGTTAGCCCAAAGGTCCGAAAAGTTTTGCAGCTTCTTCGTCTTCGCCAAATCTTCAATGGCACTTTTGTTAAGCTTAACAAGGCTTCCATTAACATGTTGAGGATTGTGGAACCATACATTGCATGGGGGTAAGGAGTTCTTCCTGTTTTAATTTCATTCACATTAATGAAATAATTCCTTTACTAATACACACCTAATTTTTTTGTTTATTTTAGTTACCCAAACCTGAAGTCTGTGAACGACCTGATTTACAAACGTGGTTATGGCAAGATCAAGAAACAGAGAATTGCCCTGACAGATAATGCCCTTATTGCAAAATCTCTTGGTAAGTTTGGCCTATTTAGGGGGATTGTTGTAGAATTTAGAGCAAGAATGTTTATTATTATTGGTTCATTTAACAGAAGACAAAATTAAGTGTGCAAGAGAGGTCTCTTGCCCCCAGTTATACAGGGTAACAGCACAACCAGGATTCTAACCCTAGTCTAAAGATCTGGTGCTCTTCCCAGTAGACTAAGATTTGGACTCTATACATGTTAGCTATATGTTACAGTAAGATGATATGTTTTGAGTTAGTTTAGCCAGTGAATTCTAGCATCGGAAATGTAATATATTCCATTGCTTTGAACTTTTAAAGCTATCTCTAACAATGAACATATGTTTGAATAAATGGATCATAGTTTATAAAAGTAATAGCCCAAGTAAATTTCAGGTAAATATGGAATTATCTGCATGGAGGACTTGATCCATGAGATCTACACTGTTGGCAAACACTTTAAAGCTGCCAACAACTTCCTGTGGCCCTTCAAATTATCTTCGCCACGAGGCGGAATGAAGAAAAAGACTACACATTTTGTGGAAGGTGGAGATGCTGGTAACAGGGAAGACCAGATCAACAGGCTTATTAGAAGAATGAACTAAAGGTGAGTTTCAAGCATTTTGAGGGTTTTTTTTTCCCCCTTTTTGGCTAGGCAGTAGGGTTAAATGACTTGCTCAGGGTCACAAAGCTAGTAAGTGTCAAGTGTCTGAGGCCAGATTTGAACTCAGGTCCTCCTGACTCCAAGGCTAGAGCTCTATCCACTGTGCCACCTAGCTGCCCCAAGGAAATTTTTTTTCTTTTCAGATTTCGTAACATTGATGGTTAGATTTGAGGGCTATGTTTCAAACCTTTGGGGCAGAAACCAGTAAGAATATTCTTAGTTCAGTTTCTGTGAATAAGTTAATTAACTTATTTAATTTAAATAAGTTTAGTTGGGCAGAGATCATTAGGTCAGACAGTCTTATTTGAAGGAGTGGTGGTTGTGACTGCTTTATTATTTTTTGTGGATTATGTTTAGTGTCCCATGCTTAAAGGATACTTTATGTAAGAGAAAAAACATTTCTAACTGATGGGTTATTTACTTTAAAAAATCACTTGCATCTGATATATTTAGTCTGTGATATTAATTTGAGCTAATGTGTTTGAGTAAGTTTTAATGTCTTTTTTTTTTCCCATTTCCAGGTCTCTAACATGATTATTTTTCTAATGGTCTGTTAATAAAAATGCCTGACAAAATTGATACTTGCTTTATTGGACACATTTCTGATTAATCAGGTTATGTGCTTGCCCCTGTCCTTAAAGCGGAATGAAGTTCAGGGCTAGGGACCTAGAGAGAGAAACCCTGGAGAAGAGAGAGCATGGGGTATATTTGGGGTCCAATCCACTAGGACCACATCAGCATGTTGCTTTCAGACATTGCTTGAGGACTGTACCCTACAAAATAACACAACTCTACCTGCAGTACATGTAGCTGTAACTAGAGAAAATACAACTTTTATTTGTAGGGAATGTTTTGACAATGTCATTATTGACACAAATTTCCTCCTTATTTAGAAACTGGTTAAAATGGACTTCTGGATCTGTGTCTGACTTCTGAAGTTTTCATCAGTTTTCACTTTTTTACTAAATTTCAGGGCATCACAGCCATTCATATACCTATTGTTTGTGTCACATTGTTTGAATCTTTGTAGTTTATGGCCCTTGCCTAGAAAAGGGGTTTTTCATCTTTTTTTGTGTCAAAGACCTTGGGCAATCTGATGAAAGCAACTGATCCCCTCTCAGACTGTTTTTAATAAATGCATAAAGTAAAATACACAGGATTACAAGGGAAACCAATGAAATGGCAATAGTAGGGGGTATTTTTGTTTTTTTCCATAGACCCCAAGTTAAGAACCTTTGGCCCAACTGACAGGCTAGAAACTGGAAACTGTTCCTGAGTGATTACCTCTGTTTGCCAGAAGTAATCTTGGAATTTCCTCTGGCATTTTGTACCCTTGAACATTTAACACATTTTAATCATAATTATTTAGGTCTCTTTCTTAGTCCTGTTACTTAGTCTTATTTCACATTTGTGTAGGTATTTACCTATTATTACTACCTATACAAGGTAATTTGGTAAATGCCAAAAAAAAAACCCAAACCAAATAATCAGGAAAAATCACTGAACAATTGGATGCTCCTCTGTGCTTTATATAGCTTCAATTCCCTATGCCCCACACACCCCCCTAATTCTCACACCACCACCACCTCCTCCCCCCCATACAGTACGTTACTTGGGCCATCAACTGCTTCCCTGTGTCATCAGTATGCCTTCTAAAACAGGCCATTATTGGACCAATATGGTTTATCATCTCAACTGGATTATAACCTGGCAGAGTTTATATACCTCTTATATGCATATTTCTTAGTATGATAGGTACTCAAAAATAGTGGATCTTGGAAGGGAACAATGAATGTAGAAGCCAAAGACTAATTGTTTAAAAATGGAGTGGGGAATATTTGATGAAGACAGGATGTAAAACACAAGGACTATGTCAGCCTATGTTGTGAGAAGGAAAGATAAGTTAAGAGTTAGGTTATAGAAGGCTTTGACTATACTATTAGGAACTGTGCCCAGTTAATGGGAAGTGATTAAAGGTTTATGCTCTAGCAGGTAACATCTGTCATTTTATAGAGCTTTGTTTACAAAATGTTTTGATCGATCTTAGTATGCCACTTGAGCCCACCCTTAGTAGGAGGTGCTTAGCAAACTGCTTGATTCAGTAAGGCATTGAAGTAGAACTACCTTGTTGGCAGAGAAACATGAAATGATAACTAAGTCATCTGCAGAGGTGAGAGTTGCAGTTAAGAGTAAATAAGATCTCAGAAGATTATATAAAAGAGCAGAAAGAAGCAGAATCGTTCGAGAAGAGACCACATTTGGGGGTCTGGAGAAAACATCCAAGAACCAGGGTCCCACTCAGGCTCGGGACAAAGGAGGAATTTGATTTTACAGTAATAACGCTGAGGAGTCTGGGATGCTAAGAAAAGGGAAAAGGCCATTATCCTTAAGCGTCATCTATCTTACCCACTTAAGTTTCGGAATGAGACTGGTTGAGAAGGGTTCAGACTAGAACTGGAAGGAGGATCATGACCAACGCATTAAGAGCACACAGTAGGTCCAGAAACTCCCATACTCTATAATGGGGCAAGCACTGGAACATCCAGGTTGTGCCTACAGATTTTTCACTTTTCACTTTGGGTTCTCCGGGAAGATATGGAATAGCCGAGGAAGGAGAGAGCCGCCCAGACCAGTTTCACACCTGCCGCGTAGTGTCCAGCCTTCCGCCCTCTCCGGCTCCCCGGAGGCTGCCTCTCATTGGTCCCCAGCCCTGAGGCCCGACGCTGCTCCGGGGGCCCGCAGGCCCCGCCTTCCCGCCCCTCCCGGCCTCGCGCGCCGGGCACCTAGCAACGCGCGCGCGCGGCGTGGGGGTGGCGGCCGCCGTCTCCGCCCCCGCTGGGGTCGGCTGTAGCGCAGCTGGGGGCCAGGGAGGACACGCCGGGCCCCAGGAGGACTCTCTGCCCTCCTCATGGGGCTCCGGGCCGCCGGCCGAGGGGTACGCTCGCTGCTGGCTGCGGGGACCTCGCCGCCCGCCCCGGGCCGGCCGGAGACCACGCCGGGATGAGCCGGAGCGACCGCTCCCGGGAGGGTGAGAGCGGGCGGGGGCGGGGCGAATCCGAGCCTGAGCCGGAGCCTGGGGGGCAGCGGCGTGGCGTGGCGCCGCGCGGGTGATCTCACGGCTTCCCAGCAAAGCAACTCTGGTTTATCTCCAGAAGGGGTAACTGAGGCGGGCCGGGCTGGAAGTGCGGGTGGTCTGACTCCAAGTTCACCGGTAATGATGGATCGGGGATCACGTCCCTTTGGCTGGGGTGTGAGCACGTGTGATCCTGCTCACATCGCCCCCCTTTCACTAACTTGTACACTCAACTAAGAGATATGGGGGTGAGGGTGGGGGTGGGGAGGGGAGAGGAAGAAGACCCTGGAGGAGGGGAAGCCCCTAAGGCAGAAACAGCTTTTAGATGCTGTGCTGACGTCTGGATGACCTTGGTTTGGTAACCGAGTGGATGGAGGAAACAAGAATAGCTAGAACTTAAGTGGAGACCCAGAAATCGTTTAATAGAGATTCTACAACACTGCCTTACATTTAAAGGATACTTTATGAATCACAAAGGGTTTTCTTCTTAACATCCCTGTGAGGTATAGGTGGATTATTCTTATTTTAGAGACAGGAAACCAGTAAGTGACTTGCTTACGGTTACACAACCCACTAAGTGTTGGAAATGCAATTTCAGCACCGGTCTCCTGAGTCCAAATTGAGCACACTTTTCAGGATACATTATCTTTCTAGAAAGGAATATGCACAGAGAAAGGGAAACTCTAGTCAAGATTAGATAGCTGGAAATGTCTGGAGGTAATAGGGAAACGTGGATAAGGGTAACACAATTTAATGGACTCAAGTTCAGATACCTTTGGATTTGGGAGGATTGAGATTCATTAATGAGGAGGAAGAAAACAGGTGCCTCTGCAGGAGAAGTATAGAAATGAGTTCATTGTTTAGAGGAGGAAGCCCAAGTTAAAACTGAGAGGAAACAAAGCTAGAAGTGTCTAAAAGGATTATAGACAAAAGTAATTGGCCAGGTGAATTTAGTTAGGAGAAAAATAAGTGTGCAAATCGAATGAGAGGATTGGTAAGTAAATTAGGTGAAATAACATTTAAGGTGATGAGAGTATATCCATAAGGAAATTAAGGGAGCTGCATGAGTATGGCAGCGTAAATCTGTGATGATATACTTAAGGTATAAGTAGTATGGTATGAATGAATGGCTTCCCAATAGTGGATTTCAGGAGACATTTTTAGGTATATTTAAATTGGGAATGAGAGATAGCTAAGTAGATATGGCTGGAATGATGGAGTGGAAGGTATAAAGGAGAGGACGAAGGTTAGAAAAGACAAGAGAACAACAGATGTACACACATGGGGTAAAATAGACAAATCCATCTCAGAGCCAAATAAAGTAAAGGTGTTTTTGGACAGAGAACTGAGGAAAGTTTTGGATAGGATTAAAAGTCAGAACTACTGGAAAGAAGTTAAGTATAGCTTGTTTTTATGTGATGTATTCCATTCCTGCCTGGATCTTGTTTTATCTAATTTTTAAGTTGCTAATTTGTATTAAGTCATTAAATGTATGGCTGACCTGTAAAGACTTGGGTGCTAAAGGAATGGATATTTTTTTCCTTCAATAGGGGTCACCCTTCCCATTAAATCAATTGTGTGACTTTGGGGATATTGCTTTTGGACAAGAGTGGATATAAAAATGTATCTCCTGTTTTGTAATTTTAACAAGGTGGCAAATCGTGGTTTGTAAAAGCCAAATATTGCTTGTTGTCCAGAAGCAAAACCGAGAGATTGGGGCACAAAGAATATAACCATAGAATCTTAGAATGTTTGAACTAGGAGAAATCTTAGATCAACTTGTCCAACTATCTCATTTGGAAGAAGATGAAGCCGAGGCCCAGAAAAGTGTGTAATGACTTGCTTAGGATCACATAATGAAGCTAATGGTAGATCTAGGCCCAAACCCCAGGAATCCGTCTTCCCAGTTCAGTGATCTTTCCACTGACTCTCAAAAGTACGTCATTATGAGACAGCTAGGTGGTACAGTGGATAGAGCACTGGACCTGGAGTCAGGAGGACCTGGGTTCAAATTCAGCTTAAGATGCTTGACATTTAGCAGTGTGACCCTGGGCAAGTCACTTAACCCTGATTGCCTCAACCCCATCTCTCCCCAAGTACAGCCTTATTATTATCCTGTGTTACTTTGTGAATGGAAAGTTTTAACATTGGCCTCTTTCTAAAACCATAAACACTTATTAGCTTATACAGAGAAATTGCAGTTAGATATTTAGACAGCAAACAGAAAACTGAATTTTTCCATATGTTTTAGGTAGGCTAAAGATGACTTGAAGCAAGAAGTGTGGCAAATTTGTTATTTTTCTGTGATTAGGCAATAATTAAATAAGCTCCATTTTTTTTTTAGTAATGAAATTCTCATCAGTTTTTAATCATTTTTTAAAAAGTAACAACTTTCTTCAATAAAACAGCTCTACTGGAACATGATATTTGTTTGGAATCTGTTCTATTATTCGGAGACTTCAAAAGATATTTAATGTTTTGAAATTAATCACACTAATTTCAAATA